ATGTATAGGATACTCGAGTTAAATTTATTTGTATGAATGACCCGTTTTTGAAATATAGGTGACTAATATTATTAGCTAACTAAATGGATGCAATTTGGCTTACCCAGTAAATAGATAAAAAGAAATGTATCCTATCATAAATCTGAACGAACATTGGCGTTTTTTCTCATTTTACACTTTTCAGTAAACGTCCACGGCCGCAATCAACTCCACACATTTGGTCAAAGAAACACTAGTAAATGCTAATATGGACTAATATGGACCGAAACTTTTTGCTTCTTTTTTACGTTTGTGTGTTCTATCTGCTATCGTATAAAGTTGTCTAAAATAGCGTTGCACCACTTTGCATTGGCGTTGATTCATTGTAACACAACGGTGTGACGTATGCCATGTATTTTGAGCGGCCGGTTTGCACCTATACGTTTCTTTGCAGCCCCTGCTTTATATACCATATCCCGAAACGTGCTTGCATTCAATGAGTTCTGTCAAGATGTTCGAATATCGTAATCCATATATCATCATTCAGTCATTTTACAGTTGTGAGATATGGCAAGCAGCGGGTAGAGCAGAATAAAAATATTCTATTGAGCTCTGAGTGCATTCTAAACCTGTTATGTTATTGCTTTTTGTGGCTACAAAGTGAAATTTTCTAGATGCAACAATTGGCCTTCACCACCACTCCACTTGAAGCTTGAAGCACTTGAAGCGCACATTTCCGTATGCGATCCTAAGTTCAATTCCCAGTTGACACGAACAAACTTGTCTATATATTATTAATTTTGGTGCTTTCCGTTGTTCTAAACCTCAATATCTATTGCATGCTCACCTCCATTGCGGCGGTTCAGTTCGTCGTGCAACTTGTTCTATGCGTCGTAGAAGCATAAAATGACTTGTTCTATGCGAAATTAATAATAGTAATAGTAATTAGTTACATTCTGGCTGTCCTTTTTGCCAACATTGCTTCTTATCAATGTGGTTCCCCCTTTTAATTAATGCAACATGTTACTACAGTGGCTGCACTAATTTCTGTCCTGAACTAACAACAACAATGTTATACGTCGGTGAGGATGTTGCTCTTGGCACATGCAAAAAATTTCCTCCAAACTTATTTTCATCAAAATCCAGTTCTTTTAAATAAGCAAAATTAATTTTAACTTTATTTCTTCCCAACCTCAAAAAGTATACGCACAAAAAGACATACACTTTGCGTTTGTATTCCGGACATACGAAGTCGTTCTCTAGTATCACTTTCTCGCCATTTTCCATCCTAATTAATTTTCTTCATTCACTTGCATTCTTATTTAAACATTTTTTCCTTAATTTTGCCAGTATCTTCTTTTCGCTCTTCTCCTTAATTCTTGCGCATTGTTTCCCTTATTCACACTCTTATATAATCCTCAATTGAATTTTCCGTCGTCTCTCTTCTAATATACACTCTGTGCAGTGTTACAGGCAGCACGCCTCTCGTAGGATTATAAGATTTTACGCACTTTAGCGTTTGCCAAAGCAATACGAAATTTCATAAATCACAAATAAATGTAATGGTGACTGCGCCCGCCGCGGCATACTGCGGAAAGAATAAATAAAGAATAAAACTTTATCAACAAATAATCATGCCACTGAGACACATCTTGTATACGTTTTCCACTAAGGCTTTCAACTGTTTTCGTGTTTTATTTATCTAACGGGCGTCGAATGTTTCCCAAAAAAATAAATGAGCCAAACGGGGCCACGTCAGGTGCTGGGATAATGCTCAATACCGTATGGGACAATAACACAAAGTTTTCAACCAAAAATAGACGTATTACGTGCTTTGTCTTAAAAAAAGATGCAGATTGTTCAGCATCGCGACACGTTTTATGCACAAAAATTAGCTAAACGAGTTCAACGGACTCGCGGAGCTTCTCTAGACATTACTCAGTACACTGTACACTTAGCAACAATTTTCCATCACTTTGCAGGCGCTTATCTGCCAAAAACTTTGGATGTCAACGGAAACGAAACAGGTTTTCTTGATTGGCTTCTACGACTTGCTCTGTTCTGCTTCAGATTGGCTCTACAAAAGATCTATTTGGTAATTTACCACAAAATATTTCGCTGGCGACAAATTACCCTAAGCTGATTATTCTTCTGATGATTTTACATATTTAGTATATTACAGAGTATATAAACATAAAATCACTAACAACTGAAGAATTCGTACACAAGCCGCAAATCTGTTGACGGGCGGCCATTCTAAGAGTGGGGAAGTGATGAAGATCGCGACACCTGGAGAATGGCCTGAAATTCACTAAAGAAAAGGATAACCTGCACATGAGGAAATGATGAATAAGAGATATTAGGTCAGTAAAAACTTGCAGACGCCAAAAATGCCTCCTAGAAGGGTAAAAATGCTACCAATGTCAACAATGCCAGATAAATATGTGAAAAATGCATGTCAGTTACGTGGCTGAGTGTGCGCACGTTATGACTGCCGTGACAGTTTCCTAAGAGTCCCAAAAAATGGGAGCTGTGAGACACTCCTCGCCGAGGACCATTCAAGAAAAAGTATTTTTTCATTTCGAGTAATCTCAAAGCTCATTAGAGTTCTAATGAACGACCCAGCCTGTTTAACTGATTTGGTACGCAGCTTAAACTAAATTGTGCATAATCTTCACGTGTACGTGACAATATATTACGCTAATTATGCATAACAACATGCGCGTTATATATTTCACTCCACTTTTTAAACGAATTCTGCTGGCTGTCTGATATATATACATAGCTTAATATTCCCCTGCCGCACTGACCATCTTGGTTAAATCAATGCCAAGTATACAACACTAATTTAAAGATCCACAGTTATACTTTGTCAAAAAATATAAGATAAATACTCGATTTTTTAAGAATTCACTCGCAAAATCAAAATATGGAATATAACGATTTATTATGACTGCGTAAGTAAAAATTACCGTACTTTCCTCTTCCTTGAATACTGCTCTTATAATTATTTAACCCTTCTGCGTGCAGAAAAATGATATTCCTCTGCTTTTGCTCCTTTCGATACTGTTGTTGTAGTTTTATTCTTGAGACAATCACAGATATATTATATCATACTGTCTTCAGCTCACAAAGTATTTACCAGACTAATTATCGTTGTCTAAACCGTATCGGACACTGCTAATTGGTTAACGCTAATCTCTACATTTTACAGGAAGTCGACGAAATATTAACTTATTAAGCAGTTGAGTGAATATCGCTGCATTCTCTACGTAAAACATTTTGAAAAAAAGAAATCGCGACCGCGCCATAGGCTATATGCCTTTTGTGAGGATATCGAAGCTGAAAAGTTTCAGCTTTCAAACAATGTAAAATAAATGAATCGCAGTGATATGCTAAACATGGCAGACATTCTGCCCGTTGTTGAATATCGCAATAAAAAAAAAGATACGTACGCACGATTTAGAAGTCGAAGGAGTTGCACAAGTAGACCAACTTAGCACCACATTTTGTCAATCCTGTAACTGAAACTACGCATTCATGACAAACCGAAAGCATCCCGGAAGAATGTCATTCCCATTTCTAATCCTCTAAAAGACATCCGATGGTATACTTGCAACTGAATATATTTTTGACGTGTATATTGATGTATTATGTTCGGTTAAAAACATATTACTATCTGCGCCACTGTATACACAAATATACGAAATATCCATGATGAGTCTTCGGCTATCACAACCACTTCAGCAATTGAAAGCTAGATACCGAACGATTTTGAAGAGAATTATATTGACTGTTAAATATAGGAATAGACTACAAACGAAATACCAGAAGTAATACAAGCAACTTTATCTATTTGCATTGTACCCACCGTGATCTTAGCGATACTGCTACACTTAATCACGCCCGAATCAGATCATCGTATGGATTAAGAAATGCCTATACGGTGACTGGGAATCTGACAAGAACAACAAAAAAATTCAACATGGAAAAGTCGCTTCGAAGACCTCGCATGCAATGCTACCGTTGCTGGAGCCAGGCAGTAAATGGACTGACCATTAAATCAGTCGTTGCCCGGAAAGATACATGATACACACTCCTGTGATCATTACGCCTAATTTCCCTTGACAAGCAAGGCATCTTTACTATGTCAACTATGACTGGTCAACAATTGCCATTCCCCTTTCGCTTGCATTTTGTCAGAAAAAATGAAACAATATGGTTCATAGAAATGTCACTTACAAAGTGGGAAAAATAAAACATCTCTTAAAACATGTAATATAATGCTAAGAAGCTCCTATCAGTTTCTATCAAGGAAAAGTGTCTCTAGTGTAAAAATATGAAAGGTAGATGAAATATGATTCCACATATCATTGCCTACCATTTGTATATAATAATTTTCAAATTAATGAAGAAGCTAATGGATATATATTTATTCAGAGTACCGAAACTGCTTGAACTGAGTGCCATTGGAAATAAGAGCAGATGACTTGAATACATTGAAATCCTACATAATAGACAGCACTGCTTCCAGCAGTTTTGTGGTGAAAAATTGACTCTGAATACGGGTACAACTTAGTAATTCGTTGTAGTCTTGGAGGTTGAATACTTGAAAACGTGCTTGAGTATTTCATAAAAACAAACTAGTAAAGCTGCGCTAATTTTTTTTCATATTTTTACATTTTCAGCTGTTATCTGTATATGAACAAATTATCGGAATCATCCCTTTTAGGTGTACCATCAAAGACCGGCTCTTTTAGCCGGGTTGATTTTTGTTTTACTTATTTAGGCTTTCTTCAACAGACCTATGAAATGGCATGGCAACCATAATATACATAACCAATAATAATACGCTAAATTTTGTTAACGAATACTGCAGACACCTGTTGTTTGATTGGACGCGATACTAGTTGCGCACGCAAAGTCAAGGTTTTGCATAAATTTAACCTTAAAGAGGATGTGCAACAGAAAGGGTTATAAACTGGAGCAGCTTGGTTAAGGGTGGAATAGAAACAGTTAATTGCCAAGAAGCATAGACTCAACCAATTTATAAAAAAATACAGATGCACAGCCACGAAAACACAAGTGGGTGGCATGATTTGATGCCCATTTATTTGCGTGGACCTACGTACTTTGAAACGACAGTATCACGCGACGAAAATCATTTCGTAACATATCACACTGGATTCTGTCCACTCGCAATGCTTTTTAACACCCTCAGCTGCGACAATGACCAAAGAAACATTTTAGTTTTGACAAACAACAAAAACGAAACGACTCGTTCGAATCGACTGCTTTGGGAAAGGGCATCTGGGACGGGTCATTTGGTACGGTGGAAAATTTTTACGGCGCGCGTTTTGAAATGTTAATAAATCGATAAAGTGGTAAGAAATTTAATTAGAAAATGTGGCGTGCCCTTAACAATATTATCTGCTTTTAAACTCTTTTCTGTTAGCTAATACGGATAACTGTATTTCAGTTCGCTGACCTCAACTCATTCATAACTATTTTTTCTGCTACACGTTACTCCAGTGACTTACGAAAAAAGTGTTATGCGAAGTACCCTTTTACTCGGATGAAGCAAAGCACATCTCATGTAAACCTATGAACAGAAAATTATTTATAATGTTTATAGTAAATGTCCTTTTAAACTGGAGTAAATACTGACTGACGGAACTCTGTTCTTTTGAGATGATATGTGCACCAAAATTTTATATAGCACTATAGTACGATATGCAAATCATGCATTTAATGAAAAACATTATTTCTAGGCAATGTGTTTTTATCATTTTATAAGCAACAAGTAGATGCAGATATGCAGAAAAAAAATCAGTTTAGAATCCACTTGAATTATATAGAAGAAATAGAATTTGAATTACAATGTTCCTCCCTTGCTATTCTGAGATTTAAGGGATTATAATTGTGCGCAAAAAGTTCGATATAAGCGCGGCGATAACCGTATCAGTTGCTGATGTTTTAAGTCAAAGATTATTTTTAATGAACGCCGTTAGAAAAAGAGCTCACGCTTGTTAGTTATTAGTCACTGCTGGTCATGTTCTGTTACATGGAGAAATACATGTTAACTGTGGCCACTAAAAAATTCGCGTTCGTTCATCTCTAATAGGTTAGGCTCAAGAAGTCGCTGGTCCGACTCTGAAAAACATGATAATGCACGTTATTATTGGTGATAGACCTAAGAATAATTGTAGTAAAATAAACATTTACGTTAGTAGATGGCTTAAGAACGTCATATTTTTTTAACACTATAAGGAAAAGTATAGGACACATTTCTATCACAGACGTCATATTAATATCAAGGAATCAACGAAAGCTGCAATCGAGGTTTTACAGCCATGTGAGTATACCCCTTAAAATGCTAATAGACCATTAATGCGCGGAGAGCTGAATTGAGTAATTTCAACACCCACTTACTTATACATATAATATTACTTATCTTTTAGTTTCTATGATGCTTACAAAATCATCAAATAAATAGTTATAGAGACAGCCTATGCACAGGAAGTAGGTTATCGTGCAGTTTCCTTCAATTTCAGCCCAGCACGCATAAGCTTGAAGAGATGAGTCACTAACTGGAGGCTAATCAGTTTACATGCTTTAGATATACGTCCCATCGCGACTACAGTTTGAAATAATGTGGATTAGATGGTGGCTTTATGGCTTTTTTAACATCTTCATCTTGTACGCATGCTGGAATAAATTATTAACAATTACATTCATAAGTGGCGCTATATAAGCCTATGGAATGTAATATCGCTAAGAACAGCGAAGAGGATCGAAGGTCAATAGTAAAGCAAAAATCGACAATATTTGATGTATTGGGTTGTCGAAAAAGTATTGATCGTTTTTCTGGCTAGATGACTTTAAAGTCACAAATATAAGGCAATATGAGCTGCGTCGGATCGGCATTGGTGTCATTTGAAAGCTGACGTCTGTAGTAAACATGAATATATTATTAGAATGCCTTCATTCAGACTTGAGATAAAACACTTTGAAGATGAGTGAAATCTAGACAAAATCCGCTGTATTTTACAATTTTATTATGATAAAGCCACAATTGCCGCTCATACTCATAAAAAATGTGTTCTGTCTGTCGTCAAGATGCGTTGTCGAGCGAAACGACCCGCAGATGGTTCTGTAACTTTCGTCCTGAAAATTTTGACGTGAGACTGGCTGCAAAAAATGTTTGGGCGCCCAAAAATTGACGCAAAAAAATTTACTCGATCGTACTTCCAGCAGCGAAAACCTACAGAAACGCAATGAAATCGAGTTATTTATAAAACTAAATTCTATTTTCACGTACGATAACAACGTGCAACTAAAAAAAAATAGAAAAAAGGGTTTGAAAATTTGTAGCAAAGCCTAACACAAAAAAGTGTTGATATGTGTTTGGCGGGATTGGAAATGAATCGTACATTATGAGCTGCTACCGCCTGGTGAAACGATTAACTTTGACCTCTATCGTCAGCGACTAACAAGATTACAGCAAACCGTTAAGAAAATTGACCTAGTAAACAGAAAAAGCGACATCTTCCACTATGACAATGCAAGACTACATATATCGTTAGCTACTTGGAAAAATTGAGAGGACTTCGGTAGGTAATTTAACTAACTTGGGAACAACCTGGACCTGGCGCGCTCAGCCTATTATCTGCTTCGGTTTATAAAATTGTCTTAGATGCGCTAATTTAGTTTTAATGGAGATATGCAAAAATAATTTGCAAAAAAAATGATTTTTCGCCCAGAAACCACTGAAATTTTACAGTGTGGGTTATGGTGCCACCAGAAAAGTGTCAGAAAATCGTTGATAAAAATGGCCCATATTTAATTTACTAGTATTATTTTAAGATATAAAAATCGATTTCAATTTTGGCTTAAAACGGTCAGTGCTTTCTTATTCCTAATGTCATATTACTGTGGGGGGTACACAGCATCGTCTTGAGAAACACCTCATAACTATTTTCTGAAGAGTATTAAGAGCATGCATATCCTTAAGTAGGTAAGGATATGACACAAGACTTCATATATAATAGTAACTTATGGACTTTTTCTTATAATCTGTTGTTTTGGGCAAATCTTGGCGGCGCTAAGGGCGTTCCTAGTTTTAACAGCAAATGACTTACTGTGTATTCCACAGAAAGCCGATTTTTTTTATGATAGCCGGGGATGTTCATGGGTTAATGTCAAAAGTGGGTTTATTCCACTTAAGTGTTGTGTGTCGCTTTGGGAATTGCTTACCCTACGCAGCATGTAGCTGCGTAGGTAGTTACGCGTATTGTCTGGACTTATAGACTATGGTTATATTTTCAACATAGTCACTTGTTATAGCTCAACCCCTTCGTGACCTTTAGAGGCACCATTGGTCAAATTTTTTTTCTGAATTTGATAAAGATTCAACTGAAATCTTTAAATATAAAGTCTAGCGCAACATCTGCTTGATAAGGTCATTTTAAATAATCTATACAACATGGTTTCCGCTAATTGAATAAGCCGGTGACTTTAATAAAACCAAAGAAACCGCAGTAAAGAAAATACACGATATTGCACAAATCAGAGCCTGCAGGGCTCAAATTGGAAAAGCTTCTGTGATGTAGTAGTGGAAACATGCTGTTTATACATTTTAGGGAGGTGATTTGGGTTAGAAGCTACGCGTAGACACCATTTACTTCATGATAAAAGCCATCCACCTAAAGCCTTTAAGATGTCGTAAACCCGAACGATTTTAAGCAAAAGTTGATATTTTGCATTTTATAAATATTGCATTTCGGCCGTTTAATGTTCTGGTTTCAGCGGTTATAGTTACTAGTGACATGCATGAGGTCGCTAGAGTTCTAAAGCCCTTCAAGTAGGCATTACTATTATTAAACTTCTCTTAAGGCTTCTCGTATCCAAAATAATGTTCTAAGTCTATAATATTATCCTGCATACAGCTTACATTGTCAAATTGTATTTCTATCCGCTACTATTCTAGGAATTCGTTTTCTACCACTTTAGACGCATTATACAAAAGACTCTCATATGTGTGCGTAAGTTATCTGTTCGCAATTACTGGTTCTCTTTCTAAGCTTTCGTTTCTAATAAGCTCCTTGAAGAAAATTTTTTTTGCTCTACAAGTAGGCCGTTTATATCGTTTCGCAGATTACAAAATTTTACTCAAGATCGAGCTTCGTAACGAACGTACTATTTTCTGAAATGCTAATAATAAACTACGTACTGTAAAAGCAAATTAACAAACACAGATTGCGAAAATTTGCACATAATAGTCACCGGTGAGTGTCGGTTTCGTCTTTAGAAATAGTGATTTGTGGTGATATGGTTGGAATTCTTGTTCTTTTACATATGTCTGTCTAGATGAATCTCGAAACGTTTTTGTTGATTGGAATGAGATCTAGAAAAGGAAAAAGCAATATATTATTCCTACGCCTAGGAAAACCGTTTAGTGGCTTGCACTGAGTTTTTCTCTTTTAAACGGTTATTAAGGCAATGTTATACAGCGGTACAAAAAACCGTCACAGAGAAAAGTCGGTAAGATTTAATTATGCAACGACTTTTTAAGTTTTCCAGCAGTATTTGAAACTAAGTTGGTACATTGCGCAAATAATATGATTCAACTTCTGCTATAAAAAAAAAAAGTTTTAAACCTCCAAAACTTACATTTTTTTTTTCATTTCGAAAAGATAGAATTGCAGAATTTGCTTTATTTTGCTTAGACGAGTTAAACAATTGTCACGACGATGTAAAAGTGTTACTCTTATATGTTATTTGGTTTCAGTGACACTTAATGATAAAACCTGACAGACACAGTGCCAGTATCAAATAACGTGAGCCCGCACAGTTCGAATGTCGACAATACAGGAACTATAGCCTCGCATTACGCAATGTGAAAATGATTGTATTTCCAGACAAAGTGGGAAGCGGATTCTTTGCCAGTACTAGATGCGACGTGGTTACCAGTTAGCCACGCCGTATCACCACTACTTACAAGCTTAGTCATGCCAGCGAATCTGATAGACATTGACCAGATTATTCAAAGGGTAGCTATATCAATTTTCTAGCTACACTTGAAGTTTGCCTACACAGTAATAAATATCGCTGAATCTTATCGTTACATTATTATTCAATAGGAAAGAGAAGGAAAGCCAATTATATATACGACCGCGATTTGCTTTTGGATGAAGGATGACATAAGTGCTTGTAGGCTTTAAATGTTTTAAATCATCACTGTCTGATGCT